AATCGTATATGTGTGCAAAGTTTAGTCCAGATTGGTTTAGAAATGGGAACCATTTTGGTCTGGTTTCCATTCGGAACATACATATACACAGACAGACAGACAGGCGGACAGACATATATATATATATATTAGGTTGTCCCGAAAGTTTTGTCGGTTTTTTTCATCGCTCACTAAACCTCACAGAACACCAATCCATAGACGACCTAGGTGTCATTCTATTCATTTTTGCATCCTCTTTCTTATGGCTATATTTGTTCCCTAATCTAGCCCGTCTTTACGATGTTATCGCCATGGTTTTTTGAGCACCTCAGCGGTAGCGCCAAAACTTTCCTGAATTTTCAAAATTTTTATCTTGATATTTTCGATGAGCGCTGGTGACTGTTATGTATGACAAACATCTGGCTACATTGTACCTATTTTAGATTACGTGGGCCACGTTTATAATGTCCGTAATAATTATTTATTTGAGAAAAACCGCGGCTTTTTGAACACGTTTTATCACGTAAAATTACCGAAAATTACAAAAAGCTGATTTTTGGAGCAAATCAAACTTGGTTATGTTGCATAAATGATGTTAAATAACAAACAAGTTTGAATTCGCAAAAACTCAAAAGCTGTCATGCTTTTGCTGCAATTGCGCGTTTCATGACTTTGCTAAAAACAAGGCCTCCGGAGAAATGATTTTTTGAAGTTAAAATCAGCAGATTAGGAGAATCTAAAAACATGAGCTTATAGCCCGAGAGTTGGTCTATTTGATACATGCTTAGTCTTTTTCGAAACTTTGTAATGAAATTTTTGAAAATTAGCTCAACTTTGAGCAGGTAAAATTGACAGGTGGAGAATTTTGGCAATTATCAAAGAAAGCATACAAGACTATGGTATGAAGGTGTATCCATCAGAAAGAGAATGAAAAGCTGCATCGAATGCATGTTCAAAGTCACTCAAATCTTCATTGTGCGCGGTTTTACAGTGGTTTGAAAAAACCGACAAAACTTTCGGGACAACCTAATATATAGACATATATATTAGGTTGAACCGAAAGTTCTGTCCCTCCATTTTCAAAAATTCGTAACTTCGCCAGATTTCAACGGATTTGCTTGCTCGTAATTTTATTAGAAAGAATAGATCTTCCGCTTTCAAGCCCTGTTTTGCGGAGCTTCTGTTTCACACTGAGTGCCGAGATAAAAATGGAAAACTAAGACCATGTAAACTTTGACCATTTTAAGTTAGGTCACCAAAAATCTGGAATGCTGCAGAAAAATCTGAAATCGTCAGTACATATGTTTTTTGGCCTACCCTTTGCATTTGTGAAAAGTTTGTGTTGTTTGGACATCTCTGTGAGAAGTTATGAATATCGAGTTTACTATGGATAACGCCAAAATTAATTAATTTGGCAATTTTCGTGAAAATCATAACTTCTCGCAGAAACGTCCAAACAGCGCAAACTCTTCACAATTGCAAAGAGTAGGCCAAAAAACATATGTACTGACGATTTCAGATTTTTCTGCAGCATTCCAGATTTTTGGTGACCTAACTTAAAATGGTCAAACTTTACATGGTCTTAGTTTTCCATTTTTATCTCGGCACTCAGTGTGAAACAGAAGCTCCACAAAAAAGCGCTTGAAAGCGGAAGATCTATTCTTTCTAATAAAATTACGAGCAAGCAAATCCGTTGAAATCTGGCGAAGTTACGAATTTTTGAAAATGGAGGGACAGAACTTTCGGTTCAACCTAATATATTAGGTCGTTCCGAAAGTAATGTCGCTTTTTTCAATTGAACGCTACATTTCGTGGAAGCAAGGTTTCTAGGAGATCTTGGTAGCATTCGATGCAGCATTTCATCCTCTTTCCAATGGCTATAATCTCACCGCAGAATACTCGATAAGCTTCTAAAAAATTACTAGAATCTCCAACCCGTGCTTTTTGGGAAGGTCAAGTTTCACAATTTTTCTAATTTTTTGTAATAACTCCCGGAAGGAGTCCAAGTAATTGATGGATAGAGCAAACCCTATAGGAAACGGTGCTATTTTTTTCTGCTCTCCGTATCTCGTCATAGTTTTTGTAGAGATTTTTCAATGAAGTCATCGAATTTTTGCAGGCTTGTCTCAAACACATATGCATCAAACACCAATAAACTTCCGGATTCTGAGACTTACAAAGGTGGATTATGGTTAAACGCTAATTTTACAAAGCATATGAGCATTTACCGCTTCAGATTAGCAACTTTCGGAAATTTTGGGTACAGCCTGGAAAACCTGAATTATGATGATTTCATCCCGAAAAACTTGGTGAATCGAAAACCAAAAACAACTGGTAGAAAGAGGAGAAAAAGCTGCGTTTAACGACACCCGAGTTGCTTGCCGGTTGTTGTTCTGTGAGGTCTGAGTTGACCAAATATGGAATTTGATAGCACTGAAAAATTGGTTCTACAAACTTCAAGAAGCAAACTAAGGAAAAGAAAAAATTCGTTTTGTGTCCTATAGGGTTCGCTCTAATTATCTGTTACTTGAACATCTTCGGGGAATCAGTACAAAAATATAGAAAAATAGCCGAACTTGACCATGACAAAAAGCATAAGTCGCAGGTTTTAGTAATTTTTTGAGAGCTCATTGAGTATTATGCAATGAGATTACAACCATTAGAAAGAGGACAAAATTCTGCATCGACTGATTCCAAGAGCTCTTGAAAATCTTGGTTCCACGAAATGTGGCGTTCATTTGAAAAAAGCGACATTACTTTGGGAACGACCTAATATATATATATATATATATATATATATATATATATATATATATATATATATATATATATATATATATATATATATATATATATATATATATATATATATATATTAGGTCATTCCGAAAGTAATTTCGCTTTTTTCAAACGGGCGCCGCATTTGAAGGAAGGAAGGTTTCTAAGAGATCTTAAAAGCATTCGATGCGGAATTTCTTTCACTTTCTAATGGTTATGAAAATGTTGCAAAACAGTCAACGAGCTTTCAGAAAATAACCAAAATCTGCGACCCATGCTTTTTAAGATGGTCAAGTTTCGCGATTTTTTGAAACTTTCATATCAGCCCTCAGAAGGAGTTCAAGTAACGGTTCGATAGAGTAAACCTTACAAATTTCAGTACTGCTTTTTTCTCCTTTACATAGCTTGTCATACATTTTCAACAGAATTTTAACTGATGCTGCTGATTTCAATACTTGGACAGCTAAATCCTCGTAGAACATCAAAAAAAGAGCAGCTCGCGCACTAGTCAATTCAGTATTTACTCCTCTTTCTAATAGGTGTTTGTTCCCGATTCGTTTAGTTTCCGGAAAAAATCATCATAACTCATTTCTTTAGCGAGCCCCAGGCTGTATCCGAAAAACTCGAAATTTGATATTTCGAACCCGTAAACCCTCGCCTGCTTTGTAAAATTAATGCTAGCTTATAACACCATTTTGGTAGTCTCAAATTACGAAAAATTATGATGTTTGATGCGATTGTGGCTGAGAAGGGCCTGCCAAAATCCGATGGTTCTGTTAAAAAATCTTTTAAAAAATTACGGCGAGCTGCGAGAAAGAGAAGAGGTAACGCTGTATTCTGTAAGGTTTACTCTATCAAATCGTTACTTGAACTCCTTCTGATGACTTATATGAAAGCTTGAAAAAATCGCGAAACTTGACCATCTCAAAAAGCATGGGTCGCAGATTTTGGTTATTTTCTGAAAGCTCGTTGACTGTTTTGCAACATTTTCATAACCATTAGAAAGAGAAAGAAATTCCGCATCGAATGCTTTTAAGATCTCTTAGAAACCTTCCTTCCTTCAAATGCGGCGTCCGTTTGAAAAAAGCGAAATTATTTTCGGAATGACCTAATATATATATATATATATATATATATATATATATATATATATATATATATATATATATATATATATATATATATATATATATATATATATATATATATAAACAAGTCAGCTTTACATATAAGATAACATCTTTTCTCTTTCACGAATACTTATGAAAGAATACTCTCACCTTCACTTTGAATTTCTTACTTAATCTGTGGGCGTGCCTACTGGTGTGATGAGGCAATTGCGTCATTAACATTGCTCGAGATTTTAAGAGACTTTTCGAACACAAAAGACGATGAACTCGAAATGCCGCAATTTTATTTGACTCTGATTATCTAGTTATGAATGAATAATCTATTAACATTCCGAAATAATTATTGCGGCTTTCCTTTTTTAGTCAGGGCGTTTCAGGAGCATCTCCAAAGTAGATGACGTTAATATGGAATATTCTCTACACTTCACTTTCCGAGAAGAGTGGGTGGACGAACGGCTGTATTTCAGCAGTCCCAAACTCTCGCATATTGTGCTTTCACCTGGACAAAGAATCTGGGTAAGCTCATTCTGAATCATTTCGTTTTCAAGTACATATAAGATCCAGATGACAAGAGAACGATATTTCTTTGAAGTGACCCTATCATATAGAAAATGCAAATCGTGCTAAAAAGCGTGGAACGCTGATTCTGAATCTGCTTTCGGTTTCTGACTTTGGGAGAAGAGTTGTGAGAATTATTTGAGGTAAAAATCCAGGGTTTCAGCTAGAATAAAAACAGTTATTATGTCTTTTCGGCGCTTGAAAACGTGGTGTAAGCATGGTATTACCAGACTGGAAATGTTTATTGCAAGTGCCTTAGCAGCCATAGCCCCTGAACTCAGAGTGTACAATTCTGAATGTATCGCCGCGCGTTCAAATTTTTATTATAAAAACGGCGGCTTATTATTTCATTTATGGCACGAATATTCGACTCTGAGCTCTCGCTAAGCAGTGGTATCAACGCAGAGTACTGTAAGCATGCTCGCAAATTTAGCTATGAAGTAGAAAATGAATACTTCTGAATTTCCTCGTTCAGTAATATATTCATTTGCCTGCTCTGATTGTGAGATACTAGATCTGTGAGCTTTGCGTCCTGAAACTTTCTGTCAAGGTGATGAAGAGAGGTCGTTCAGGTGCCAGATACTTTCTTTCAAAATGAAAAAGATGGCAAAAAACATGATATCGACACACCGAACATCTTGATCCGAGTGCACAACGGAACTGGACGGATACTCTACTCATGTCGCTTAACTCTCACTCTTAGCTGCCCAATGAAGTAAGGTTCTTTGTCTTCTTGAAATACACGAATTTGAATGCTTGCAGATTAGCCGATTATCCCCTTGATGTGCAGACCTGTGTAGTCGATTTTGCTTCTTACGCATACACCACTAAAGATATAGGTAATTCTTTTTTCTTCAACTCGAGAAGGATCTAATTTGAGGATAGGTTACAAGCTGGCTTTCTTGACTTGCCCGGTCAAAATAAATTAAATTTTCTGTTAATCTTTTTGCTTGTTTTAATAAAAAAGGTCTATGCCTACTCTTGACTTTTGACTTTTGAGTAAGCGTTAACTTCAAAATGCAGCTGAAGGGAGTGCTTAAAGAGCTCCTAGCCAAGAGTGCTCAATTTCTATGCTAAGCTAAAACCACAAAGATTTACCAAGGCTGATAGTGTATTAATTGCCGAAAACTGCGCTGTGTCAGAATATCATTGAGTCCAAATCATAAAGCTTCCCTTCTTAGGTCGCGTGCAAATTTTCAATGTCGCTTTTTCGCGGACTGATCAAAAAACACTGTTTCAGAGTACATCTGGAAAGACGAGAAACCTATCCAGATCAAGGATGGTCTCCGTCAATCACTGCCTTCATTTTTGCTCAGCAATGTACGAACTGGAAATTGTACATCCGTAACGAACACGGGTAAACTATGCATTTTGAATTCCTGACTATGTTTTGCAAGCCCACACGCTCTTCAGGTACCTATTCCTGCCTACGAACAATTATTGAATTAAAACGAGAATTCAGTTATTACCTCCTGCAATTGTACATACCTTCATTCATGCTTGTTGCTGTGTCATGGGTATCCTTTTGGTGAGTCTTATTTGGGAAATGAATAGCTGCACTCATTATTTCTACTCTGTTCTAGAAAGATATAAAATCGCAGCTTTGCTGATCTGATCAATGATTTGATTTGTAACTTGATATTTGTATATTTTAGGCTAGACAAGGACTCTGTCCCAGCTAGAGTGACTCTTGGAGTGACCACTCTCCTCACTATGACTACTCAAGCTTCGGGTGTAAACGCTAATCTACCTCCCGTCAGCTACACTAAAGCGATTGATATCTGGATTGGAGTATGTTTAGGTACACAGGCTCAACATTTATTTACAGAAAAATACAATATATTCTCTAGCATTCATCTTTGGAGCATTGTTAGAGTTTGCACTGGTAAATTGGGCAGCTCGCCAAGATCTCGCACAACATGCCTACAGAGCTCGACAGCAGCAAAGCTTGCATATGTACTTTAGGTGAGCGATACCATTATTTAGAAGTCATAACTTGTGGCATCAAGTAATAGCATGATCAGTATTTATCTCTTAAAATAATATGGTAACTACTATTTACGTTGTATTTTTAAAAAGCTTTGCATAACACTTGTGACCTTTATTCAACCAGATCCAGCCGGGATTATGATTGCATGAATTTGTGACATCTGCAGAACGAGTATCTCAAATTTATAGAAAAGTCGTGCCATTGATCCCTTCATTTCAACCAAAATATTTGTTTTCTGGAAATAGGTTTGTTTCAGAATCGTGTGGCTGTTGGAAGAAAATACCTAGCAAAAATACCTAGCAAGCTACATTTGATTTCATCGCTATGATCAATTTATTTAGTAGTGTCGAGCATGGATAGGGTCCTATCTATTTACTTGATGCTTTTTGAGCCGTTTCTACTATCACTTACAATTTTTCTGGCTTGCGTGTTTCTACTTTCTTTTACTCCAGGAATCAGCAAATACGACGCACTGAACTGCACCCGTTTCATCCTGCAATGCAAGCACAGGTTAATCACAGGCTTCCTGAGATTTCAAAATAGCATTTTTTCTTTAGACTTATTTCGAAGAGCTGCCATTTTCCTGGTGGAAAAAGTTGTGGAGGATTAGATATAAGGTGATTCTTTCGAAAGTACATGTGTAGAGACGTGGTAATCTTGCTGTTTGCAGGAACATAGCAGAAGAATAGATCTAGTTTCACGAGTAATGTTCCCATCATTCTTCATGATCTTCAATATTACGGTAAGCACATTGATTGTTAACCTTTTCTAAATAGACAATAGATATTCGCTTATTTTAGTACTGGTGGCGGTATTTGACTCCATATTTGGCTGTCCAAGCACAACTGGATTAGATCCAAAATTCAAAGCGAAGATCCTGAAAGCCATTTCAACAAGTGATAGAATATGGTTGTGATACTTGTTGACGGGTATATAAGATACTCATTTTTTGCACTGCCTTTATTTATTGGTGAGTGATAAAAGAACTTATCCAAGTTGATGATCTTGTAATTTTCTTTTGTTTGTCTCAGGCATCTGTCATGAGATTTCACGATTTACAGAGAAAATGCTTTTGCTGCATGGTGAGTGTTGTGTCGTGGTGTATTGTGTCTTGATGTCTACCGGAAGACGTCGAAGAAGAAATTCGATGACTTCAAAGTTAGACCAAGTACGTATTATTCCTCTTTATGTTCTGCTATTAGAAGTCATACAGAGAGGTTGCCGGGCTTGAAATGAAAAGAGCGTCGTCAAAGACGAGTTAGATATGTACAATGATAGCACGGTCAGCTGCTCGATTCCCTCAATTCGATTTCCTCGTAAGTTACACTGTAGCAGTGCTTGTACCAGCAATGACCTTTAACCTGCTTGATAATCAAGGCATGCGGTCATATATCAAATAACATAGGCAAGGGTTTCAAAAATTATATGTTTGCGTGCCCGGAGCAATTATCTTGCGTAGCATTTATGAGCCGTGGCTAATCTCAAATCTTGGTTTTGGCAAATCCAGAATTGTTCAAGAAAGCATTAGCGTTGCAGCTTTGGGACGAAATACTTTGGAAATGATACGAAACTGAGTTTTCATTGTGACATCCCCGAGCACGAATTTTTCACATCGGTTTCATATTCTTGGTTGTTCTCAAGGATGGTGATGGTACAAATCGCATCCCACGTCTCCCACGTCTGACAGGGGGAATTCATTCATCGGGTATCTTTTTTATAATTGTGGCTTAGAAAGAAAATGACGTACAATCACGGTTGGAAATTTCTCAGAACGTTTAACATAAGACGCAACGCAAAGTTCATTTATAAAATCGTGACGACGGATTTGACTGCGGTTTTTGCGCCCACAGGAGCATAACACCCTCATCCAAAAAACATCACCTCAGCGCTCAGCTCAGTCACTTCCAGTGCTCAAGTACTATCATACTTAAGAAAAACCAGGAGTAGAGATGAAAAATAAGAAAATGCGGTTGCCGGAAGGTGCGTGCGCGTCGCGCGCGGTCGCGCATCGTCACGATTTTTCAAATGCCCTATACGATTCTTATTAGATGATTTGAGTGTACGCTTCCTTTGTGGGAATTACCATGATTTTGCAGTTCAGAACATATGCGAATTTGGCGCGGTAAAAATCCGTTTTTTTCAAAAATTTGCTTCGTAGATATAGAGAGCAAATCTGAGACCAGTGTTTAAACTCTGTCCGTCGGTATAGCCACCATCCTGATCGCATCCTTGACCAAGTGAACTTCCTTTATGAGAACAAGCAGAGATTTCTATTTCCTGGATAGCTTCAAATTCTTGTTGTTTGATGTGTATCCATTCGCGAAGCGCAGCTAAGTATATGCTGGCGAGATATAGTCGCGTGATCGTTGCGTTTTAAATGCTGCATTATGCAACCATTTCTCGTCAAACTGCTGCGCAACAAGTGCAGTATACTGCATAACAAACAGCAAAACATGTTGTATTATTCTCTGTTGCACTCAGGAAATATGAACCAGTCGTATTTGCATCGCAAGAATCGCGGCGCAGCGCACAGCATCTGCTTACGCGTCATGTCGTTTGCATACTGATGAACGACGTCCGAGCGATGATCCTCATGAAAACTCGTCTTTTCGCTCGACTTGAGCGGAGCCATCTTTGGAGATAGCCATTGGACACGGCGAGTACGACCATTGTGACAAATCGGCCATGAATGGCTTTAAGGCATCACTGTTCAAGGCAAACAGAAGAGTGCATGTCATCGTGTTCCTGCTCGCTTGGAAAGGAAAAAGGTCTAGTGTCCTCAAAAAACTTCAAGAAAAAGCTTCTGGCATAAATAGTTCCTGGTTCCAAACGTTCATAAGCCCCAAGAAGGATGTCTTTCTTTATTGGACATTTTATTTCATTTCAGTTTCGACGTAGAGTGGTATCGCAACGAAGCGCTAGCAAATTTTCTTGGCAGACATAATCGAGTTCGTTCACTATAGAGGCGCGATCGTAAAAAAATATGTCTTACTTATCCACATCTTGTTATCCTTGAAGTTCGACGGATTTTCTTGGAATTTATCAAAAATTCACTTACGTAGTCACGGTTTCAGTCTTTTTGATTGAATCGTCCTTGGACATAATTAAGACTGAATCAAAAATCCGTCTCACTTATTTTTCACTAAAGTATCTCGTATATTGTTAGCCAGTTGTTTGCGAACTTTAAGGCAGCGCGATCTATTGCAAACAGTGTTTGCAAAGATTTGCAAGAAATCTTGTGAGGCTGCTTTGTGTTCAACGCCAATAATGAGATGTGATAGCTCCAAAAAGTGACTATCGTCGTTTGTTGTAATCGAACAAGTTTTGATTTATCCTATCATTTCATTCTTACTTTATACAGCTACGAAATTTATATAGCGGAGTGCAACCGAAGAATTTCGTTATGATGACGTCTTCTACCCTTTTTCGCATAATTTGCGGAATTGAGCTTTTGGAATAGAAACAGCTGTTTTCTGCTTGTCTCAACTCAATTCTCAAGCAAATTCTTAGTTAGACATTCCCAAACGTATCTCTCTTTTTTTTTTTGGAAAAACAAGCATTTGACGTACGAAGACGCTTTCGAAAAGCACATTCAGACTTTCCGATTAAGACCCAAGTGAAGAACGAGGATTTATGTTTGAAGGCTGTTTATAGTTGTGTTCTCTTTCACAATGTGTTCGTTGTGATTAGGGCAGCTGGAAGCACGCGTTTTGAAGGTTACCACATTTGTCTTTCCACTGAAACTTCGGAACATCGAGCATGCTACGAATGATGCGCTTTGGATTTGGCTGAACAATAAGGGCTTCAATAGCCTGGGCAACAGATTATACAGAGTGTCCCAAAAAGATGTCCACACTGTTTGATCGTTAATAACTCTCTTGCTTTCATGTCTTTTGCTGAACTTGAGGAACCATTCTGTAGAGCGAGGATAAACATAGATTAACAGTATAGAGCGAATCATTAAACTCTTCATCACGGTATGAACTTTCGGCATACAGCATCTGTAGAATAAGCCTTTTGAAAGAATAATTTTAAAAAAACCCCCCTGAAAATTTGTGTGGCAAGGTTTTCAGGCGTGCTGATTTCACTACATAAATTTCCACCACTTTTCGAGCTTTCTTGATGGCGTATTCACATTTCTGACGAACATCAAAAAATCACTTGTTATCCTAAATCTGAAATAACTCATGAAAGAAGCTCTGTACAGAAATGCAATTTTTACATTTAGAATAGCGACTTTAGTTAGGTTAGTACAAGAGTTATTGGCTTGTTTGGTTTTCGTTCTAAGGCAAAAACCACTTTAGATGGCTCAAAATCCTCCTCGAAATTCCTACCGTAATCCTACAGTAATGAAGAGCGGCTGATGTCGCTCCATACTGTAAATCTAAGTTGAACCTCGCTCTAAAGAATGGTACCTCAAGTTCTGCAAAAGACATGAAAGCAAGAGAGTTATTAACAATCAAACAGTGTGCACATCTTTTTGGGACACCCTGTCCAATAACATAAAAATGGCTTTTCGAATCCGAAATTTACAGCTCATAGGAGGCAGTGAATTGGCCGTGGGAGGGAGCGAGAGAAGAAGCAAAAGTTGGAGAGGAGAAGATAATTATTTGAGCAGCTTCTTCTTTTATCTGAGAGATGTTACAGCTGTGAGTGCCAACTGTGTCATTCAAAGTGATAATTTGGAAATGGATAAATTATACATCAAACAGGAACAAACAAATGATAAAACTATCTGCATCTAATGCTTCTTCAATCCACTTCATAATGCAATTCTCTAGAACAAAAGCATGCCCACGTCATTGTGGTAGAGACTCTTACACTGACTTGGATTCGGGGAGGAGTTCTTTAAGACGTCCTCAAATAAGAACCGATGGTCTCGTACACTATAGTATCTTCCAAATGAATCATTGTTAAATAAAACAAGTTTGATCTGCTGTGAATATAACATTCTAATAAGTCAAAGGTCCCGTTTTTCGTTGAACATTTATGGGAAATGAAATGCGGCTTCACTTATGATCGCTCTTTTTTGTATGATGGCTTGAATTATATAACTGAATGCTGCTCTTGCGCAATGCGGCGACTGGTTGCGGAAACCAGCGTCTGCTAATAACTATCACTTTCTATACTATACCTACCAACTTCTGTTTTTAGAATGCCATGACTTTTCCTCAAAGTCTGAGTGAATGGGGTCGGTGCATCCTTGTAAATATGGAGCGCCGCATTTACGCCAAGGATAAAAAATGTATTTTTGGAATTCAAACTGCACCGCTTCCCAAGAGGAGGGCTAGCATGATGACAGGTTGACCAAAACATTCGATGTTGACAGACATTTATTTTTTTGTATTTGTAATGGAGCATTTGGGGCATATGCAAAGGGAATCAGAAGGATCGATTTCTTTGTCCTTCACTCAGTATGAGTGTGAACCTGTCATGGGTGAAAAGAAACCGTCAGTGTTACAATATTTTACATACTTTACTTTCCTATTTGGAAAGCTGTTCAAAGGTTAAGACAGTTCCTGTTGCCAATCTTATAGATACAATTCGAGTGGTTCTTCGTTCAAAGAATTTCAGCAAAAGCTTGGCATTTTAGCCAGCTGAGAAAAAACACGTTTGAAACCATCTTTTGCTCAGTTACACTGATTTAGTAGTTCTTTTATTGTCTAGCAGATCATAAATTGACTTCTTCTGCAATCTTGATATCCCTACGATGTTTGCATGATAATCATTGCTTCTTTGAAACTGTTACATGCATCGGTGTTTTCAGTTTTGGTTTCATAGAAAGACGTACACAAGAGGTCATTGCTGCGGTCCTGTTGGCTCCTACCAAATGTCATTCATCCTAAAACAGCAAATACCCACTGTCGACCAGCTGACTTCCACAAAACCGCTTCTTGCTTTTTGCATCACAGTCCAACTGTGATTCACTAACACAATCCTATTGTGCCATAGTCATCTGGAAGCTGAATAGCCAGGTGGATCAAGGGCGGAGCCTCGGCCGAAGCCGCTGAGGGCGGTGAGGCGTGTCCCTCGATGGCGCGACTGAAATTCAAGTTATGAGTATCCGGCTCGGCCTGGATAAAAGCCGCTCACTGGCTTACGATTGCACCGTCACATCGGCATCTCTCGCACGTCACTCGTTTCGGATGCTTGCTCAACTCCAACTCGTAAGTCCAGCTGGACCAGATTTGTCGTTTTGTATACTTGGCATCAGCTACTAATTCTCTAGGTTCTTCTGCTCATTTGCTTGTTGCTGCTCAGTTTGCCGTCCGAGGCTTGCCTCGGAGGCTTTGGAGGAGGAGGAGGAGGTGGAGGATGTTGCGGTCAACCAGCTTGCCCAACCCCATGTGGATAAAAGTGAGTCTGATTGGGAAAGTTCAACTATAACTATGAGAAAAACACTCCGAAACAGTCGAAAATTCCCCTATCGCGTCGCAATTACATCAAATATGACTATGTAGAGCTATTATATGTCAGACTTCTGTACAGTTCTCCAAACACATATCACTTTTTGCGAGTAGTCACCATCCGATCTAGTAACGCCAGAATTTATGTGCAAAAATGCAGTATGTCTGACAACACTAAGGTAGTATATGGAGGGTTCACGACTATACTTTTAGAGCAAGAAAGTGTATGAAATCGTATGTAATCGTAACTGCTTACAACCGACTGGCATACTCCTTTTTTAGATAGTCACTTGCCACTTGCCTTCGAGATCTTGGGAATCACTCTTCATATGGCCTGAAAATCCCACCTCAGTTTTTAGAATTTGATGATGTTCATATAACGTGTTTTTGTATCCAACACTATTTATATGCATATGATTGTGTAATAAATATGATATGAGTCAATATAGGTAGGTGTTCGCTCATCAGAAGAAGAGCTTCTGCCCTAAAATAGACTAGTGTTAAAATTATAATATGTAGATGCAATCAAATTCCCACATGAAAATCACTCTTTGAGGAAAGAAATAGAAAGGATGTCATAAGTGCATATTGTCATCAGGGTCGGAGAGGTGTTGCACATGACCGCCAGATACGACTCCCATCTGCCGAGGCGGTCGCTAAAGACCCCTTATTATTGTATACTTACCTTAAAGGCCGCATGCATTGACATTCGCGCTGGGGAGGGGATTGCAACTCCAACGAAAGCTTCATATTTTGAAGCTCCAGATATCTGCATTTTACGCTATCTTTTCATCCGTAAGTATTTCTACTATCCTTCACTACAAACGTATTAGGCCCCGGGCAGACTTCACGCGATTTGATCGTCGCGACTGAATCGCGACGAGACAACTGTTACAACATCATTCCATGCCGATCAACTTGCATTCGGTTGTGATACTTTTCCAGCCCGATATTTTTGAATGTGAAATGAAAATGATTGGAAATCTTGGCGATTAGATCGCGACAATTAAGTCGCGTGAAGTCTGACCGGGGCCTTAAAGGAACGAGAGGCTTTACAAGCCGCATTTTAAAGACCGTCTTTTCTTCGGTCATCTATCTGTCTTCGAAGTTGACGAAAACATTCCAGAGTTGTACTGATTATCCAACAGAACAGTACTAAGCACGTTTCTGACAAAAACATATGATGTATCGAATTCATGAAAATCGTGATGAGCCACAAGTCGAAAGTCGGGGTTTGTCAAAAAATTCGATATTTTAACGATTCATTTGTTTTAGCAGAAGTATGCTTAGCACTCTTGGGTCATTTGATCAGTACAACTTTTGATGTTTTCATTAGCTTTGAACCAAGGAAATTGACTGAAAAGAGTTCGGCCTAGGGCTCGGCACAGGTGGCTTACGGGGCAAGCTGGATATCGTCTTTGAATAAAAACCAAGGGGTTATCGTCAGGGTAAAGCGGGGGGTGCGGCACGCCGCAGAGGGGGGGGGGGGTCGTATTGAGGAGTCAAAAGGGGAGGGGGTCGTAGTTAGGTGATCTGATTATAGCGATAACATGATATTCGTATCATATCCATAATTAGCACGTCAATTAACCCCTGTAGACAAAGTGTGAGCGAATTCTGAAGATTCAAGATACTAGGCTACCTAAGTGAAATGGTCAAATTCCAACATGGTTAACTTTATTTTAAAGGTGAATTAGCTATCCGTTTTTGCACTCAAGACAAAGCACTACTCCTTCTTTGTCCACCTCAGGAATCCCGCTTCAGAAGACCTCCAAACTGTGGAATTAGAAGCCAACCAAAATCTCATTTTTCCCATTTTTCGCTTTTGATGGCTGTGCTTTCACCAAATATTACTCAGAGCTAAGAAGACGAATCAGGCTCAAAACATCCCTATGGAATCTACGAGGTTTAGGCTATCGATTCATATAAATATTGTCCGCTAAAAATGTTTTTTTGATATAGTTAATGGCCTGCGGCACCCCACCTCAAAACCTGCGGCTGCCGCAGGGGTGCCGCAGGGGTGCCGCAGGCCATTAACTATATCAAAAAAACATTTTTAGCGGACAATATTTATACGAATCGATAGCCTAAACCTCGTAGATTCCATAGGAATGTTTTGAGCCTGATTCGTCTTCTTAGCTCTGAGTAATATTTGGTGAAAGCACAGCCATCAAAAGCGAAAAATGGGAAAAATGAGATTTTGGTTGGCTTCTAATTCCACAGTTTGGAGGTCTTCTGAAGCGGGATTCCTGAGGTGGACAAAGAAGGAGTAGTGCTTTGTCTTGAGTGCAAAAACGGATAGCTAATTCACCTTTAAAACAAAGTTAACCATGTTGGAATTTGACCATTTCACTTAGGTAGCCTAGTATCTTGAATCTTCAGAATTCGCTCACACTTTGTCTACAGGGGGTATTTGACATGCTAATTATGGATATGTTGTCCATTATGTTTGACAGAGCCTTCAGGTAATACTATATTAAGTGTATAGTTTAGGAGGGGGGTCTTATTAAGACAGCAATCAGGGGGGGGGGGTCGTATCCGACGGTCGAGTGCCGCACCCCCCGCTTTACCCTGGTTATCGTTTGAGCGGAAACCCCAGCCCCCCCCCCCCCACACAGACAGTTCTGCCCATTTGTCACCCACCTTCTATAGAAGACGCAAATTTCATTTCTTCCTTATCAAGCTGCAAAAACCAAAAATTTCTTGTTTCAACATGTTCGCCGATTAAGCGCGCGAATTCAAACCTGCCTCGAAATAAACAAAAGAGTTGTTTACAGCGAAGAGAAAATGAAATGACACCAAATTGTTGTGTAGATGGACAACAGGGAGTTAGGACTATGTGCAAATTATGAAGAAATTATGTGAACTGAAGGCGCGGCAAACTTTTTTCGGAGTTAGGTGGCTTTCCAGCCACCTGGACAGCCACCTGAGGTGGCAGTAAAAAGAAAAGTCAGTTATTTCCCTGCCTTCAATAATTTTCTCAAATGTTTAACATAACCTTGTTCTACTCAAAAACCCTACAAGTGAGTTTTTGAATCTTCCTAAACCCTCTCTTCCTCGCCTAGTTACAGCCCTCCAAATACTTTGTATAGCGGTGGCAAGCCTGCTCCAAGCGCGCAAGGGTGCGCGCCGAACACAGCATGCCGCCAATTCGGAGAAAACGAACATCTTTAGTTTTTTTCGTCTGTTCGAAGTTGCTTTCATGTTTTGTTCAATATATTCTCGTTATCCATTCTGATCCATCCACGATCGCGTCATAGGTGATGTCGTATTTTTCTGCAGAAGACTACTGGGACTTCGTTTTTGAAAAATTGAAAGCCACCTCATGCCGAGCCCTTGTTCGGCCACCGGGGATCATCAGAAAATCTAATATATAAAGAATCGTTAAAGGCAGTGGACAGGCAAAATGGACCTCTGTCAGATTTTGGTAGTTTCGGGTAGTGGACCCCCCAAGTACACCGTAGCCCCAACTCCAACTTCCAATTGATGCGCTAAGTCCTGAAAAAAGCGCTTCAAACTTCCACCAATAACGCCCACTCAATGCAAGTGGGCGGGGCTGGTGGAGTTTTGAAGCGCTTTTTTCAGGACTTAGCGCATGAATTGGAATGTGGGGTTGGGGCTACGGTGTACTTGAAGGGTCCACTACCCGAAACTACCAAAATCTGACAGGGGTCCATTTTGCCTGTCCGCTGCCTTTAACCCCATTCAAAAATCTGCAAATAGCGGGAAACCGAGGGCGGGTCCCGAAGCGAAGTTTCTTCCAAATAGCACATTCAGATTACTAGTTCACCAGTCTTACATGAAGCTGAAAATGCGGCTTGTACATTTCTCGCTCCTGTTCAATATGATGTTAGTGAAGAGTGGTAGAAATACTCACGATTGGATAGACATGAGATACCAATGTGTGGAACTTCAGGATATAAAGCTTTCTTTTAAGCTGCGATCCCCTCCCCGGTGGCGATGTTAAAGACGCCGCCTACCCAAGCTAGTGATCTTGAGCTTTTGCCAACTTATGATAGGGACCCCCTTTCCAACCAATGCCCAAGCCGCGGCGTAAAATGTCGCTTCGGAAGCGGCAAAATCGCTTCGGAATAGCAAAGATGCATGAGGACCCCACTCGACACCGTCCCCTCTAGTAATGCCCGCCCCATCCGTGCGCGCCCATCCAATCACTGTTCGGGGAAGCAGCCTGCGGGTTCTCCGAGAGGGGGACTGTATGGGTTTTTGAGATTTTCAACTTTATATTTGGAATCAGGGACATGAGAAGGCCCCGGAACGATCAAAACATGAAAGTCGAGAAGGTGGACGGTGGCTTTAATGCAGGCAACGTATGATGGAGTCCCCACAAGAAGTAGATAGCGTCTTCATAATAAGAATGTCAATGACCTCAAGTGATTTGTTCATATTTGTTATTATTTTTATTTTTTCATACTTCATATTTGGAATCAGGGACATGAGAAGGCCCCGGAACGATCAAAACATGAAAGTCGAGAAGGTGGACGGTGGCTTTAATGCAGGCAACGTATGATGGAGTCCCCACAAGAAGTAGATAGCGTTTTCGTAATAAGAATGTCAATGACCTCAAGTGATTTGTTTATGTATATTTGAAATCAATTTTAGATTTTCTTGGAATTTTGAATTAGCTTTGTAAAGATTTTGGGCGCCTCTTTTCTCTAAAATTTCGGGATAGCCCGCGAAAATCCCGGAAAACGCCCCGGAGTGCGTGGCTAATGCCACGCCCCATTATTCAAGAAAAATTTTTCGCGTTCTTTCTCCCCTCTCCCCCACCCCTGGTCGGGAACCCTGAAACCATCGCCACTGGGGGACACTTAAGTGAAATAGTCATTTTCAAGCGTGGTTAACTTTTCAAATAAAAGCCGCCATTGACTCATAAAGCAATTAATACGAAGTAGCGCGTGCGAGCGAATGTGCAGAAGTCCTCGTGATTGTACTATTTTCCCATTGTGGAAAGCGGGCGATTGTACATTAGGAGTGGGTATCTAATCACTCCACGGATCTCCCTTCAGGGGGTCCCAGCCGGTTAGTCGCGAGGCCACATGGGGCGTTTCCAGGTGGCAGGGGCTAATCGCAGACCAAAAGCGACCTCGCGCCTGTTCCGATAAGCAAGAGGAGCCAGGGGACGGACTCCCTGCCTCCATCAAAAGCTTGCGTTCCTGTTTCCCGGGTAGGTGTGGGAGAGGCGGTCTCGGAGTCGCCTCTAACAAATAAGCTCCGACCGTCCCTCGGGGAGATTTGAGCCCAACAAGCTGTTCCTGCGAGTAATTTAACCGTTAAACACAGTGATGAATTGGAAAGCTCCCTTAGTCTTGGAAGAGCC